TCTCTCTCTCTCTCTCTCTCTCTCTCTCTCTCTCTCTCTTACACACACACACACACACATACACAGGGTGTTTCGCAAAATGTTTTTGTTATCGTCCTTCGCCGCAGCGTAGCTGCGGCAGGTCCACGTGTTTATCTTAAAATTAATAAGGAATTTCGAGGGGACCCGCAGCCAAAAGTTGCTTGTGCTGCAATTTTATACAATTTTGTTCCCAGATTTTTTTGAATTTTTTGAACCAAAATTTTGACTGGTTATGAAATGACTTTTTTTGGGACTCAATCGAGTGGTATTTTCATGGGAATTTTATTTATTGCTGTAGGTTTTTTATGGAAAATAACTGCAGTTCCTTTTCATATGTGGGCATGCGAAACAACTTCAGGCGGTTAGTATAGTCGCCTTGAAAGGCTTTGTCGCATTTCTTCAATGCGGACACAATAACGATCATGTACCTACGGGTACATCGAATTCGACTTTGTCATAAACATCGTAGGGTGCTGCTTTTCGCAAATCCCAGGAAACCCCTGAACCTCCTCTCGGCGCATCTTGTTCCCAGATTCTTTTGAATTTTTTGAATGTTTTACCTTTTAACATGATGCGCCGAGATGCTGCCCGGCCAGTGCCCAGCGGGGGCCCCCCGGGAGGGTACCCAGGCGACCTTCCCCCAGCCGGGCCACCTGGGGACCAGCCTAGCTGTTTTCATCATAAATAAATAAATAAATAAATAATGAAAATAATGAAGCTGGTCCACCGACATGGAAAGACACGTTTCTCCCTTTTCGAGTCCCAATGTACCGCTTTTCCATCAAGGAGAGTAAGGGGGTGTGTGTCTTCTGTTATAATACTAGTAGATACCCCGTCGTATGATCATCTGTCCGAGCGCCGCAGCGGCGCGTTCTTTCACCAAAAAGGAAATGTACCTTTGGTTAGATGATGCAAGTCTTGTAATCCGGAGCACGACAACCCGCACCACCATTTCCCTGGAGTATTTATCAATAAAGTTGCAAAATGAACCCGTTGCTAGAACATGGGAAAAGTAAACGGCCATGACTTTGATTTGTTGTGCATTGAAGCCACGCTAGCCAGTGTTGTCACCACTAAGGTCTTGAGGAACTGTTCCCAGATCAAGTAAAGCTTTCCGTCCATGATCTTGATTTGTCATATG